CACTATAGTGAAAAATCATTGTCTGCTGAAAACAGTATATTTGATTTCAGTAGTAAATTGACATGAGCTCTTAACATACTTTTGGACGCACTGAAAATTCCACAATGAGAATTCCATTTGACTGACCATTCTCCAATAATTCCTATTAAAGAATAAATTTCAGTCTGACATATATGGATGAGTAGATATATCTGATTTTCTTATTTAGTGATGATTGGAATAAAGTGTTATTCAAGTCAGTTTTGGGGGTAATAGTATACACTGAATTTTGTGACTCCAAAATTCATAGTTGAAACTGTAACTCCCAAGGTGATGATAAGAGATAGGCTTTTGGGAGGTAATTTGGTTTAGAGGATATTGTGAGGTTTTGCTTCTCATGATGGTGTTGGTGCTCTTGTAAGAGGAGACAGCAGAGAGCTTCCTTCCTTTACTCTCTCTGCCTTGTGAGAACATAGAGAGATGGTAGTCATTTCCAAGCTAGTAAGGAAATCCTCATTAGCAAGTTGAATGGAGAGGCACTTTCACCTAGGACTCCTAAGCCTCCAGAGCCATAAGATAGATTCTTGGTATTGGAGCTGCCCAGTCTTTCTTATTTTGTTATGGCAACTTGAACTGACTAATACAGTTTGCAGTGTTTGAAGCAATAGCTAATATGATGGAGTGAAACATCAGTTTTACTAATGACAGAATCAGATTCAGAAAGATTTTGATGCAATGTATTAATGACCAGATTCAAGGTATCAAAGAGGGTTGATTACAAAAATTGATGTTTAGGTTTGTATAAAGGATGCCTTCAATAAAAATGGAATGGGAAATGTATCACTTGATAGAGGTGGATTTGGCAAAGAATGTAATTGTGTGGTACTGTTTCTATTTTTAAAGTCAGAACACAGCTAAGTGCTGTGTTAGATTTTAGTATCACATTAAAGAAAGGAAAAGTGACAAGCTGAAAAAGCCAGGGGAAAGTGACCATAAAAATTATAAAAAGTGTAATTTCCATTTTTAGCCAATTTTAAGTAATATGTACTAGATTTGCAGTAGTGCCTCACACAGATTAAAATAACCTGACACAGTACATGATACAATGGTGTCAAGATTTTGGACATCAGCCCACAGCAGACAAAGATCTTAGAGAGATGAGAAATAAATAACATCTTATGATAACCCAGGTTCCTGTCAGGGACATTAGCAGGCCTTGGCAGGACAGAGCGTATGGTGCAGGAGGACCCCAGAGGAGACTTCTCTCTTTCTAGGATAGAGAGAAATAACGGAGAGATGGAAGAGGGTGAATCAGCTAGATTTCACGCGGAAGGATATCAAGAGATGAAGACAAGCCAAACAAGAATCCCACAAATCTGTACATGCAGAATGTTCAACTAAGTAAAGATTAAAACATGAGTGTGAGCCACAGAAGACCCTGAAGATCAGTAGTGACCCTGGGAAGTCAAACAGCTTCCATCAGCAGAGCAGAAAATGTGACAAGCAAGGCTTTAGATTTGAACCCAACCATACTGATCATGACATTAAATTTAAATTTGTATGGTCTAAAAACATTGGTACATTGGACTAAAAAAGGAAGACCCAATTGTATGCTTTAAATATAAAGGCTCAAGTAGTGTGAAAGGAAAATGTTGAAAAATTCCACACAGGAAAAAGTGCAAGAATGTAGGACATGTGGCTAGAAAAATGGGATTGCAAGGACAGGCACGATCATAACCTTCCATTACATAGACATTTTCTTTAGCCGGGGGTTGATAGTCCCGGAAATGCGATTGCTAACAGTAGGACTGCCAGTGAAGGCCTCACAATTATGCAGTCCTTAGGGAGATGAATTTTTGGCACTATACTAAATAAATCCTTGTTGCTTTATTTTTTAGCATCTTAAAATCCTAAGTTATGATGAGTCCTCATGTGTAGTTTACATTAATGTTTATACATTTTTGGTCAAAAATAAGAAAGGAGATTTACTAATGTTTAGTGAACTGCTACTTTTTACTCCTCCCTCTTCCCTTTTCCCTTCCCTTCCCTTCCCTTCCCTTCCCTTCCCTTCCCTTCCCTTCCCTTTCCTTCCCTTCCCTTCCTTTCCCTTCTCTTTCCTACCATTTCCCTTTCCTTTCCTTCCCTCCTCTTCCTTCCTTTCCCTTATTTTCTCCTCCTTCTCCTTCTCCTCCTTCATTATTCCCTCCTCCTCTTCTTTTGCTCCTCCTCCTTTTTTTGTATTCTCAGTGTTTTTCTTTATCTCATACCCCTACCCTTTCCATATCTTCAGAAGTGCCTTGTCATTGTAAAGTGTGCATTTGAGTGTAAAAGTGATTCTATTTCTAGGAAGTTTTTACTTTTTTAAACTTGTTTCCCTTTGGTCTCTGTTATGAGTCAAAAATAGGTTACAGAATATAAAATAATCACAGAAAGAAAACATGGTAAAGAATAGACTTAAAAATTTGAGAGCTCAGAATTTTGTTCACCACATTGTATTGGTTGACCTTGTGTGAGAGAAAAACACTAACTGCATTTTTCAGGACTCCAACTGACTTACATATGTATAGCCACACTTATTTTTTTTTTTTTTCCCTCCGGTACTGGGAACCGAACTCACGACCTTGCGCTTGCCAGGCAGGCGCTTTGCCGCTGAGCTAAATCCCCAGCCCCAAGCCACACTTAAATATAAGTGTTTATGAAATGAACATAATCAGAAAAAAAATCAGGATGTGTGTGTGTGTGTGTATGTGTGGGTGTGTGTATGCACACCCTGAAGCAGTACCATAGAGATTAGATTAGGATAATGACCAAAGAATAGAAATCTGAAGTAGCAGATATTGGCTCAAAAGTTAGGAAAAAGTGTTCTAATAATCAGAATGCCTGAAAGTTGGAATAGCTATTTTTCTAAGACTGTTAATTTCAGTCATTAGAAATCTTAAAATAGAAGTCGGACTCGGGGTTTTTCCAACCTATGTGAAACTTTGGGTAAATTAGGAAAATGTACCCTAGCTAGTGGACATAGTAGAAGGTCCTGTCTCTGTATGAATGCATCCCATGCCAGCTACATGGCTTCGTGTACAGAGAGTGCCTTTCACTTCAGCTTCCACCTTCCCTCCTTGTGGGAGCTTTTGGCAGTGTCTCCTTATTAGAAACACCATAGATCAACTTGCTGAAGTAGGTATGAGTTAGAGGTTGGTGCCATTCAAGGTTATGAGTTTCTGTTTCCAAGTGTAGCTTGGATATAAATCAATGCTTTAGGCGTTCTGGTCTCTGCACAGGTGAAGCAGCATGCTGAAATCAAAAGTCCTATGAGAAGAATGTCGTTCTTTACTTGTGTCTCTCAAACACCATTAAACGTGTTCCAATTTATAACCTGCACAGTATTTCCCCAAAGACTCTTACCTCACTCCAGCCTGGCCCAGTTCCCTTATACTTCATAACTGCTCCAGGGACTCTCATATACCAGCCTCTCAAATTCTCTCTGAAGCCTCAGCCTATGAGGTCTTCTAACTCTCTTGTGCCTCCACCCTCTGTCCTGCATTTCCCTTCTAGGTTTTCCTCTCTCTGTTCTCCAGATTCTGTAGTATAGGAAAAAGGATCTGGGTTGAAAATTTTTTTTCTTAGATTCAAGAAGAACAATGGGAAGTTGAGTAAGAGAAGATAAAAATCCCTCCTTATATTTCCCTTACTACCTTTCAATCTTGTTCCCCACCTATTTTCCTGAATTGTAACAGCACAGGGGGAAAATCAGGCTGCAGCAAACTAGGTGCTTCTTAGGAAATTTCAGGAAGAGGAACATGGCATGTTGAAACTTACTAGGTACATTCTGTGTCTGCAGCTCCTTCTACTACAGCCTAAAGAAAGGTACAAAGATACAAAGCAAATTATGTGCGTAATATTTACACATAAAGAACTTAAAATGTTATGAGCTAGAATTAATAAAATCACATGAAGTAGATTTAAAGGAAGAAAACCAATAAACTGTGAAAATGACTACCGCTCTACACCCATGAGTAGCCTGAAGATTCCCTGAATATTGACTCTACAGCATGAGGAGAACTCTGGGATTCGAAGAAGTGTTCATGGAAGGAATATTGAGAAAGCGTTTAGAAATCTAATGGACCACAAGGCTAGAGAGATTGGTGCAGAGAGCACTTGATGAAGAGTCAAAGTAATGAGCAGGAGACATTATGTCTACCTAGTGGAAGGAAGGGCGTAAGTGGGGTGGAAGCCTTCTTCTTAGTGGAAATGCACTCTCTGTCCTCTAAGCTCCCACATCACTTATTGTGTAACCTGAATATTAATTTATCCCCCAAATATGGTGAATGTTTAAATTAAAAGTATTCATTACAATAAAAGACACATTACCATTAATCTCCCTCACAAATACTTCCCATCACTTTGAATACATGTTCTTTCTTGATCATACCTTGCATTTTATTCTACTGTAGTCATGGACCAACAGAAAAATTCTTCTTCTTAAAATACCATTTTGATCACATTATTGGTATGTTTGAATTTCTGTTGTCTCTGATTAAGAAAAACTTATTAGCAAAAGCAGTGTGACCGTTCTTGCTCCCCTCCCTGCCTCTCTGACTAGCTTCCTCTGAACTTTTTAATTCAACAAGTTTTTAATCCAACAATCACAATCTGTGTATACAGTGGAGTACATGGGACAAAGTTAAATATTGTTGTTTGTAAAGGAAAAGCCTGTCTGTTAGGAATGGATTCACATTTGCCTGGTGAATCCAGTTTTTATACCAAAAGAACAGGACTATGATGCTACAACTTTTAAAATGTCTCTAACTGGAACTACATGCCTCAAACCTGAGCTATTGAGTTGTTTGGAAATTTAATATAAGGTAAATAATAAGATACAAAACAAATTTTGTAGATAAAAATGATGAATCATTCTCCCTGACTCCGCTATTTTCTTTTTCTCTTATATATTTAGGATTCATTGAATTTAAGAAGAAGTATTATTGTATAGATACAAAGCAAGAGACGTCATCTTTGGGAGGCTAAAAATGTAGCTCTTCACTTTGAGAACAATGGGAGAAAGTGCAGCAGCGGTCCTTAGAAGTATCCAAGGGATCCAATCCTTTATTACTGTAGAGGCTTCCAGAAAACAGATTTCTATTCTCTGGACATTCAAAAATGCTGCAGCAAACTATATACATGGTACTTCTTTCTTGGCTTCACAATTTTAGTTAGGGTATTGGCTTTTTGGTTTAATTCCAATGGCACAGCTCATAAATGAAGGCTTTTTCTTCTGGAGTCTGAGAGAAACAATCATAAAATAAGAATCTTTGACAGTCTGTTTGTTCTATTACAAAATGTAACATCCCTTCTGAATGAGGAAAGACCCTTTAAAAGTTATGTGGACTGAGGATACCACCACACACTCAAATACTTATGGACACTTTAGAGAATAATTTGAAGGATATGCTATTTCTCAATAAATTTTAGTGACAATAGCACAAGTGTGTGAATTACACCGTTTAGAGAAACACAGAGATTTAAATCACTCATTTTGAGATAGGGAAAAGCACTAGCCACAAATATTTGTTCATTATGATACTTATTTTCCTAGCTCACGGGATGAAATTTCAGTTTGTTTATGAGAACTAGCAATTCCTTTACCGGACTGAGCAATGGCTAGTGAATGCTTTTGTGTGAATGAAATCTCACCTAATCAGGGGATAAAAAAGGATAAGGACCTTTACACTGCCACGTCATTTTACCGCAGTTTGTAGAACTGGCAGTTGTGGGATATTCTTGAAAGTATATACCTCCTAAAGAACTATGGCTAGATTCTCTGAAAATAATTTATACAACAGATCCCTTTGGCAGATTTATAATGCTGCATAGCTTGGAGGGAGAGACTGGACTAGCTGGATGCTTCCTGGTTGCATTAGCATAGCCCAGCCCACCTCCAACACACGCCCAGAACTACCTCATTAACCATCGGGATTGCAGCCAAAAATATAAAGCTACAGTGAATATAAAGGGAATTACTGGCGAGAGAGCTGTAGAGCAGCTCACCACTGAACCCATTGCTTTTCCAAGATCAGAAAAATATTACAGTAACAGGCACCACTCCTCATTCAGATAAGAATTCAAGGTTTTTATCTAGAATAATTAGCTGCAAAATAATAAGATATACAGTCCAGCTGCATCCATTTACATGCTTCTGTTAATTTCTCTCTCTCTCTCTCTCTCTCTCTCTCTCTCTCTGTCTGTCTCTCTCTCTCTCTTATTTATTTTCTGGATAGCTTTGACATTGTAAACCACAGACGAATTGGAGCCTGGCATTGGAAGGAGGTGTTCTGCAAGGATTTTTTTTTTCCTTGTCTAAAGAAGTTGACTTCTGCAAGAGGGAATCTGAAAAATGACAGGGGCAAAGAGGAAAAAGAAAAGTGTGCTCTGGAGCAAGATGCACAGCCCGCATTGTGAAGACATCAAACAGTGGTGCAGAAGGAGGCTCCCTATTTTGGAATGGGCACCACATTACAATCTGAAAGAAAACCTGCTTCCAGACACTGTGTCTGGGATAATGTTGGCAGTTCAACAGGTGACACAAGGTAATGTGCTGCATTTGCTTTTCTAGCTTAACGCAGAATGGATGTCACTTTGCTTCTTGGAAAAGTATTAGTGATCTAGGATTGACAGTTTATTTTATGAATTGAGTGTTTAATGAAATGGATATTAACTTTGGAAAAACAGGTACCAGGATATCTATATTTAAGAGATCTCCTAATTTCCTTTTAAATTTATTTTTGCTAGCAGTTAAGCATTGAACCAACTGTTGAATGGCATTACAGATTTGAAATATGAAAGTTCATATTGTTTTCGAGTAAAGAATCAGTCATTGTAGGAAAATGGGCTTTTATGACTTGATCTTGCCAGCAAAATTTCCTACCTTCACTGAATCAAGCTGTAAAATATTTCCTGGTTTGAATGCAATTGTTTTTGAACTTAATTAGCAGCACACAATTACCTGTTGTAGCCTTGAGAGGTGCTGTAAGCAAGGAACAAGGCTTTCTGTACATAAAGGAGGCTCTTTGCCAAGCTCATTATTTGCAAAGAGAATCCTGTATGTCCTTAGAGCTCATGTTTTACTGTGCGTATAGATTTGCTTTTGCACCCTCTTACCTCCAGATCTTTATCTCAATAAGAAATTTAAACTAGCCAGAAGTCTGATTTTAACATTTCCAAAGCAGATTTTAAATGATATTCTGGGTTTAGATAGGTGTTTCCCTTGGTGAGAGCTAGTTAACTAGGGTGTGTGTGCACGTGTATTTTCCCTAGAGGTATATTCATTATGGGTTTTGGCTAATACAGGTAATTATTTTCTACCTGTGGCAAGGAAAGAAACTGATTTCTCAGCCTTGAGAATTTGGTACAGTTTTCTTGGCACAGCCTCTTGTAGGTTTATATTTCCTTGTAATTTCACTGCCTCCTTGGCTTTATTATTTATACTGTTAAATTATAAGCACTCTTTTAATTAAATTATTCTGTTGCTGGAACGAACTGGAGTGTGTATTTTTGTTTCTAGCATGATTAGGAACATCTGCACTGGTGGCTTTAAGATCTATAATACTATCATATTTTATGGGATTCTATTTCACTGCATAGTCTTGTGTTGCATTTTTAATGACCGTTTTGCCAATAGCAAAGCATAGTAATCTTTTAGAAAAATGCAGAGTAAATAACAGGTTAGGGCATTTTGCTTTGCCTTTTTAAAATTTTAAATTCAACATGAAATTCACCATGCAATTGGAAAACTTAGGTGATACACTTCAAAAGGTTTTTTCACCATAGTTTCAGCATGTGTTATATATTTATTTTGCATAAATTTATTGTGAAATAGAAGTATGCTTTTAGTAGTAATTTGTTTTTACTTTGAAAAAATATCAAGTTAGTAAGAATGTTTGGGAGTATAAGAAAGTTTTTTGTTGAACAGCCTTAGTGATAGGGTTTATATGTAACTCTTTGGTAGTCAGTTGTAGAGCTTTTATTTGCATATAGATTTTGTGGAACTTTGTTTTGTGATTTGTGTATTTCATTGATTATGAAAAACACATTGGTCAACTGATGAGAAGCACAAAGCTTCCTCAGCTCTGTGTCATGGGAAGTTCCAGATCTGGCTGCTGCTCCTCTTGGAAGGCTACCAGGGAAGGGGCAAGGTATTAAAGAGCTTAAAGAACTTTTGCTGGTGTGTGAAAAGACTAATCCTTCTAAGGTACCTATGCCTTTAAAACAATTCCAGCAAATTTTCTCATGTTCCTCTCCTATGGAGAATTAAAAATTGAAATTTCATGAAGCTACAATTTACTACAAGGGTCACAGAACTATGTCCTTATATACATTATTTCTCCTTATCCTTAAAAAGTCCCGAGAGGCAGCACTCCCCCATCCATATAAGGAAATACAGGCTGAGAAGCATGAGAAATTTTCCCTGGATCTCATACCTGATAAGTGGGGGAATCAAGAACTTGATTCCAAAGCCAACACTCCTAACATTTTCAACTTATATTCTACACTGCCAAAATAACTAGACTTTTCACAGCACTCATGTTATTAGTAATAGGAGACATTTCTTTGGAAAGGTATGACCGTCCTTGCCTTCAAATTACTTTTGCATTCAGGTTTCACCTCTGTAGTTTTTAGACTCAAAGGCAAAGTGACAAGAAAAATAATTTCAGTGGATGCAGATTAAAGAAGACCAAACCTCCTGTTTGGGTGAACATGATATGGGTGACTATTGTCTGCTCCCTTTCATGAGGTAAATTAGAAAAGGGGGTAGTTTTTGTTCTTGAATCATAATGAAATGAAAGTATGCTTTTTAATCACCTAGCATAGAATATATGAAGTTATTGAAATAAATATTTTTTGACCTGCAAATATGGAAAGTTTATATGATTCAATCTAGTTAACTTTAAAATTCTTTTATCTCTATAAATGGATTTAAAATTAAGGATAGTGGAAACTATCATTTGAGTGTTCTCTGTGTGTCAAATACGAAGTCATTGTTTAAGGTTACTTAATTAAGGATTTCCTAGTTTTGAAATGTAAGTATTTTATTTACTGCTGTACTTGACCCATCTCAAGTCTATTTTGGGTTGATTGTGCTCTGTCTAATTTCCTTTCCTCTCTTGGTATTCAGACACAGCTCTTTGGTCTTTCTCTGGTGTCTCTTTGGCCTCCTCCTCTTAGGATCCTTTGCAGATTTTGCTTCTTGCTGTTTCCCACAAAGATTGGCATCCTGGAGACTAAAGCCCTGGCCTTCTCTAAAAGCAACCTAGGCAATTTCCTCTGCATAAAAGACTGCTCACCATCGCTCTGCCCGTGAGACGCTCCTCACCCTGAGGTCCACACGTGTACCCACGCAAACCTAGAGTGTTCTCAGAGTGCATCAGCTGCAAGCTTTAGTGCTCTGAACCAAACCAAATGACTCTGCCATCCCAGTCAGAATTATAATAATGAATAACAGCGGTAGTCAGATTTAGGCACAAGCATGAGCGCCTGTGTGAAAGCACCTGACACACATACAACAGGAAAGTTCAGAGAAGTTATCTGAAGTCACACAGTAAATAAATGGAAGAGGTAAGATTTGAACTCAGGCAGTTTGGCCTCAGAGGTTGTGCTCTTTTCAGCTAGACTTGCTGTCATTGAAAGTGCTACGAATTGTTCTCAATTCTCCTCTTTTTTTGTCACCCTGCCCACAAGCGTATGGTCAGTCACTAGATTCTTTCTTTTCTATCCTCTAACTTTCTTTCCAACCAAATATGTGGTCTTGGTTCAGGACCTTTGTTGCCCTCTTTCTGCATTGTCTTCAACATGAAATCCTCTGGAGTCTTCATTCTTGGCTCTGTCTCCACCTATAGGCCGTATTCCATAATGCAGCAGTGAGAGTTAGAAAAATCTGACTATACTCGTCCCCTGTTCAGAATGCTTTAATGACTCACTTTCTTTTAGTACAAAAGCCCATCCACTTTGCAGATGCAACCATCCATCCAATTTGCTCACCCAGTGAAGCAATCCAGTTTGATGATTAATAATTGGGGCCTCTTTATATGAAGCTCTACTGAAAGAGATCTCTACTCTGAGAACCCCTCTCAGTCTCCTGGGAAGACATGTGCTCTCGTCCCTCCTACTCCTGTTGTACTTTTTACATATCTCTGTGATAGGCTTGATTTAACACATTGTATTATAAGCTTTTGGCACAACTCTCTCTAAACTGGTCTCTAAGCTCTTGAGACTAAGTCATTGTCTTCATCATTTTACTCCTATCAACTTGTAGTAACCTAGCACGTAGAAGTATGTTTTTAATAAATAGTAGAAGAATTAAAATGCTCTAGAAGCTACTGATTGTTCTTTTGCTGCTTACTGCCACTGTAGAATGTTAAGTTTAAATTAATTCTTATGTTTTAAAAATAAGTGTAGTAAAGATACTGATGGGGGAAAGTGTACTAACATTGAGCAATGAATTTCTTTTAATTTCTCTTATTTTTTTGAAGTCATAAACTTGCAGCCCTCTAGACAAACTGGCCAGAAGATACCTCTTTGTCTCAGTATCAATTTTTTCCTCATCTTACATTAACAAGGATGGGCAGTTCATATAAAACTCCAGATGCCTTGCTTTCAGAAAGGTGGGAGACAGGGTCATACAGAACCCACAGTCTCACACGGCAGAAACCCGCTGGATGTCACCACAGGTGATCCCCATTAGACAAGGCGTGTGCTTTGCATCCTGCCACCGTCCCTGCCCCTTACTCAGCCACCCTACTGTTCATATTCCCATACTTGCCTCGCCCTATGAGTGGCTAAATCTTTCCCTGCCAACATGTGTTCTAACATGTTTTGTTGAGATATTTTCAACTCACCCTTAAATAAAATATTTATAAAGAGACTACATAACACAGGTTCTTAAACTGACCTATAGACCCTTAAGGCCTGTGTACCTGGCCTCGGACATTCCAATATAGATAATTTCTTCATAATCCTATATATTTTTGCTTGAATAAATATTAAGATACATGTGTTCATTTTAAAGAAATAAAGAAAAGAAACTCTAGGCCATTCTTGCATCATGTTCAAATGTTTTTAGAAACTATTTGTGGTTTTTAAAATATTTTTAAAAATTCTAGAGCTCTCATTATTATCATCAGGTAAGAGTCATGATAGCCATCTACCACCATATTCTTTAACTGGTATCTTGAAAGCCCCCACTAATGAATATATTTGTAGATGAGCAAATATTTGTAGAGGATGTCATGATCTTAAAATACGTTACCAACGGGGCTGGCAAGCTAACCAGTATAAGACTGGTCTTTTGAGTATTTAGTTCATATTCTATCCTACACGAGCACTTGGGGCTTATTTTGTTTCTAGCAGAACAACTCAAGCATTGAGACAGGGTGGAAACCTAAAATGCATGACTTGCTGTATAAGAACCCAACCCACCGAGGAGGAATAGGAGAGTGTTTTGCTTGAATTCCAAGTGATCACCTAGAATTTTTGTTTCTAAACCATGAAAATTTTAAGCTGCCACAGGGCCGCCTGATGTTCAATTCACAGC